AGCTGCTCTCTTGGGGGTAAGCCGAGCGGGTTTAGCTCACTTAGCGAACAAGCATGCTCGGCCCACGAGCCATCTTTTTAGGAGCCGAGCGGCTCGATTGCCACCCCTAGTAGCATTTGATTGGTTGTCTTCAATTTGTTTTTCGTCCAACATTCATTGAAAATGTGCCTAGTGGCAATATGGGAAATTTTCTGGCAAAAATCCCTGTACATGTAACGTGATTGTAAAGAAAAAGGAGCCTTTCCTCTCACCTCCCCAATTATTTCATTTTTTATTTTTTTTATATCCTTGTGCTTGATGGAAGCTTCTGGTGAAATCATGTGCATCTTGGTTTTATTTTTTAATTTACTATGAATTTCTAGTTTGCCAACGTGATAGTATATTTTGTGTGTCAGTTTCTTTCCTTGGAAGCAAACTTTTATCCTCTAGAGTCCTAGTATGATACTACCTACGTGCTTTGTTTATTTGGAGTAGTGATCCTTTTTATGGTCATTATTTTTCTAACCCTTACTTCCTTTGTTCTTGACAGTTGAGAGTTGGCCTAAAAACACGTGAAGAATTATGGTGGCAAAAGACTATCAAAAAACCAAAGGATCTACTGAAGCGGGGGTTGGAGAGATTGACACTAGTGCACCATTTCAATCTGTGAAAGATGCTGTCACTTTATTTGGTGAAGGCACCTTTTCAGGGGAAAAACCTGCCATTAAAAAGTCGAAACCACATTCTGCTGAAGTATACTACATCATTTTTCTGTTTCCTTCTAGATATTTATATGTTCTAATCTTTATCCTCTTATAGCATGTTTAGTAAGGTGATTAGACCCCGTAAACATATTAAGAAAGATAAAGAAACTAAATTTTCTTGATTGTAATATTGAGTATTGTCTAATATGTATGCCAAACATGCACTAAGGAATGACTAGTATCCCTGGCGGAGTTTAAAAAATGGTGGGTATAGCATTAACGATTATCCACTTAGGACTCATGCAAGAAGTTTCTGATTAACATAACCATTCTGTGACTTATAGTTTACTTGTTAAAAGCATATTTGGGATATGTTTATTAACAGTTTAAATTATAAATAGATAGAAATGTGTTGTGGATAAGTGGATAGTGTTGGTGGTGGGTTTCTTGAAATGTGTGGATAAAATGTGGCTTGAGTGTTTATAAATTAGTTTAAAAACATGAGCCATAGATAGGCTAAATTACTGAAGGTTTTGCCAAGCTCTCTAGGATTACTTTAAGCAACGCTACATGTTTAGTGTTGATTTGGCACAAGTAAATGTAGATTTTGGCTAATTCTTATTGATGCATAGAAAATATTAGTTGCATTATAAATCCACTCAATTGGACTCCATTGAACAATTGTTACTATAGCAAAATATTTTTCTCTATTTAAGAAATGTTTTAAAGAAAGTAATCTAAAGCATGTTTGGAAAGGGTGTACAAACACTGTATATAAAGGGTTAAATTATAAATGGATAAAAATTGGTGGTGGATAAGTGGGTTGTTTTTGTGTGTCCCTCGAAATGTGTAGATAAAAAGTTAGATATCAACCCATGTGGTACTTCATTGTACGATATGTAAAGGATCAATCTGTATAGATATCATCATCTACATTGAAAAAGGCTTTGAGTGTTTATAAACAATTTATAAACACGAACCAAATGTCTACATGTAGAATTTCAAACAACAATTCGCATAGCTGTTTATGGTTCTTTCCGAATATTTTTGCTAAAGATGATAGCCATTTTCATTAATAGCATGTTTGGTATAGGGGATTGGACTCTAGAGAGTTAAGAAAAAGAATGTAAAATCTTGCTATTATACAGATGAGTCCTCTCTAGTACAACGTACTGAACATGTCCTAAGAGTTCAGAAAGCTCTGAATTTTCCCGATTAAACTTGTTAAATGTTTTTATTCCACTTCCATTAAACTCGTGGAATTATGTCTTTTGTTGCCAAAGTACTTATATTTTCCACTTTCAGAGGGTGCTGGCAAAAGAGACTCAGTTTCACCTGGCCAAGAAAGAGTTGAATAAGTTGAAGGAACAATTGAAAAATGCTGAAACCACTAAAGAGCAGGCTCTCGTAGAGATCGAAAGGGCTAAACGGGCTGTTGAGGATCTTACACATAAACTTAAAACTATCAACGAATCGAAGGATTCAGCAGTTAAGGCTGCAGAAGCAGCTAAGATCCAAGCAAAGCAATTTGAAGAATCGGGCAACAGAAATTCAAAAGAAACAGATGGATCCTTGCAAATGGATCATGAAACTACACAGGTTCAGAACAAGGCCATAATTGCTGAACTTGATGTGGCAAAGCAGGAGCTGCGGAAAATTCGTCAGGAATATGATGCTTCCCTGGAAGCAAAAAATTCTGCCACCAAGCAAGCAGCAGAAGCCAAGAATGCTACTAAAGCAAACATGGAGAGAGCTGATGAGCTATCTAAAGAAATCATAACTGTACAGGAGTCGATTCAGCAAGTGAGGATGGCAAGCTTACAAGCTCGGGAAGAGGAAGCAAAGATCTATGCTGACAAGGATGTCTACAAGCAGTCTTATAAAGCCAGGCTTGAAGAATCTGAGAACAAATTGCTTGCTTTGAAGAGAGAGATTAACTCTGACCACACCCTGAAATTGGAGGCAGAACTAGCTCAAACTATGTCAGAAATCGAAGCGCTACGGAAAGAGATGGATAATGCAAGCGCTTCAGATCTTGATTCTGTGAAGAAGGTTACTTCGGGGTTGGATGGTGCTAAAGAATCATTACACAGAATGGCAGACGAGGGGAACACTCTGAGAAGCCTGGTGGAGACCCTTAAGTTAGAATTGGATAACGTTAAAAAAGAGCATTCTGAATTGAAGGAGAAGGAAGCAGTAACAGAATCTGTTGCGGGTAATCTGCATGTGAAGCTTCGGAAAGCCAAGGCCGAGCTCGAAGAAGCCCTTGCCGAAGAAACCAAAGTACGAGGAGCTTCTAATGAAATGGTTGCTGCCATCCACCAGGTATCATTGGAGATGGAAAATGCAAAACATCAAGCTGAAGAAATGAAACAGCAAGCAGAACAACTTGTAAGAGAAGCAGAAGCCACCCGAATTGATTTGGAAGCAACAGAAAAGAAACTGATAGTTGCATTGGAAAAAGCTGAAGAAGCGAAGGCAGCTGAGACTAAAGCTCTCGATCAAATCAAGATGCTGTCTGAGAAGACTGATGCTGCACGAGCCTCGACTTCAGAGCCAGGCGCCCAGATCACGCTATCAAGAGATGAGTTTGAATCATTAAGCCGAAAGGTTGAAGAATCTGAAAAATTATCAGAAATGAAAATTGCAGCAACTGTGGCTCAGGTAGAAGCTGTGAAAGCAAGTGAATACGAGGCCCTTAAGAAGTTGGACACTACCCAGAAGGAGATCAAGGATATAAAAGCTGCTACTAAGGAGGCACTGAAGAAAGCAGAGATGGCAGAAGCAGCCAAGAAGGCGGTCGAGGGAGAGCTTAGAAGGCGGCGTGAACTGGAGCAAAAGAAGGCAGCTGAAGCAGCTGCTCGAATTCTTGCAGAAACTTGAATCATCTACCCGTATTTACCAAATCCAAAAGCAGAATCCACCAGAAACAGTAAAGGACATGCGAAATCTAGAAAAAGCAAAGACTTCTTTGACAAAGAAAGTTATTACACCTAGTCTTAGTGGAATATTCAAGAAAAAAACAACCAAGTGGAGGGTGCTTCCCCTTCTTACTTACCCGGTGAGAAACGTTTGGTAAGTATTCTAGCAAATTTTTGTGCAATATTTGGAAGACTAACAGAAACCTGTAAATATCTTGGTTTATGTATATCCCATTTGATCAGGGAATTCTTCATTATATTGCTGTTAGCAAACCTGGGATAATCATTATAAAGTTGTTATTTCTGCCTTTTTTTTTTTTTTTTGGTTAATGTATAATGTAATTGGTCGGCAGATCCTCTCCGCAACAGTTCCTGTTGGCCTTGAAACGAGCAATGCCTATTTGGTTCATATCAAAACATATAAATGCACTAGTTAAACCTGTATGTCGATGGTGAAAGTGAAATATTATCTTTATTTTCTGTTAAGATGAATTATCAGTTGAAACTAGAAAGATATTTTATTTATTATTAAACCATTGATCAAAGGTTTTTTCTATTCAAACAGGGGCCGTGACGAGCCCTGTATAGGGTGCCAAATCTATTGGAGGGTGCATATTGGAGTCCAATACGCCCCCTCCAATCACAAGGGCCGTGACAGTGATATTTCTCCAACAGTGGTGTCAACAGATGTACCATTAAACCATTCAAATGTTATTTCTCTAACATTCAATTTGAAATATTGGAAATCTGTCAACAAAATTTGAATGAAGATCTTTTTCATAGTGCGTAATACTACTCCGATAGTTTTTAAAAAACAGGGGCTTTGATGGGTGCTGGGATAAATTATTTTTCCTAACTACCCAATTATGTTGCATCACCCATTCTCCTGTTTTTAAACCATGACCCCATATGTGTAGCAGAACTCTTTCATAAAGGTGGTGAAAGTTTTTTGCTGTGAAATGAACTCTCTTGGCTTTGCCAATATGGTTACTCATCACATCAACAAAAGATCAAAGAATTTTGAAACTGTGTCAGCAGTTGGTTTGCTATTGAAAATTCAGGACCATCTCTGAGCTGATTTTACTTCTTTGGGAAAGGAATTGTACCATGCAATTATCCAGCATTGTTGACCGCTTCATACAGCATTGGGAACCCCTTTTGTCAACACTTGATGTTTCCTTCTATTCCAAGAGGATTTGTTACTATCAATAGTTTAATATTTCTCGTTCTAAACTAGCCAAGATTGTGACGTCTTGATTTATATTCTATCACTTGGTTTGGATTTACTAGATTTGTAATGTTTTGCTTTGAATGCCCTAGTATGTCCGGAGTAGTTGCACTCAATTTTGATCAATACTAATTTATTTACTTGATAAAAAAAAAAAAAAGGATCAAAGAATTTAAATAACAGCATTTCAACGCTTGAAATACAACAAATTTTTTGGCATACAAAAGGATTTCTTGATCCCTTAAATGGGCTCTTACCAAAGGAAAACTCATATAAAAGATTCCCAAAAGTCCACCAGTAAAAGGCAATCCAATGCCCTTCAGCCTTTACCTTCGATGATTTCAGGTGCCATATTGTTTACCAATTTCAATTTTGGATCCTGTCTTTCCTGGAGTAATTCAAAAAGTCGTGGAGCACAAGGGTACGATATAAGCAGGTTGGACACATTATAAAGCCTTCCCTGAGGGGTTCGGTCTCGAGGCCTGAGGATTTGAGTGTTTGGCTAACAGCACAGTGAAGTGAAACGTCGAAATCAGATGGAAACAATTTCTGGCTTGAGGGTACACTGCCGAGCATGTAGAGGTATTCTGAAGCAGGGCAGACTTCTGCCACACGTGAGAAGTAAGAAAATCAGAAAACAACCACAGAGATTAATTTGTGCCCGTAACTTGTACAAGCAGAAACTAAACATTAATGGTTCTACAGTCTCAAAATTCAGATATACATGGAAAGACGAAAGCTACTGAAGGAACTAATGCTTCTGACAAAAATCAATTCGTAAAGTCCCAGGTGTGTTGAACTAACTGCTCAATGAGAGGAACTATTACTGAAATGGACTCAGAACATAAGGATAAATCTCATTCTGAGGCCAGTGGAACGAATGCAGTACAAATTGATAAAGCAGATAAATTACAAAGATTAATTTGTGCCCGTAACTTGTATAAGCAGAAACTAAGCATTAATGGTTCTACAGTCTCAAAATTCAGATATACATGGAAAGACGAAAGCTACTGAAGGAACTAATGCTTCTGACAAAAATCAATTCGTTAAGTCCCAGGTGTGTTGAACTAACTGCTCAAGGAGAGGAACTAGGAACTATTACAGAAACCATACTCAGAACATAAGGATAAATCTCATTCTGAGGCCAGTGGAACGAATGCAATACGAATTGATAAAGCAGATAAATTACAAAATTCTATTATTATAGACAAATGAGTGCATTATATGTTTCTAGTTCAAAATAACGTTAAAAGAAAAAAGGAAAAGAAACAGAAGGTCGGGTTAAAAGAAACGTAATCCTCCAACTACTGATTGTACATTAACCCAACAGAACACCATAAATTGGTTCACAGAAGATTTTAAATAAGCAATATCACAAAAAATTATCCCTTTTCTCCAGTGGCATAAGTAAATCCCGGTAAACATAAAGCTGAACCATAATTAGATGCAGATGCTGATCAATAAAATACCAGAGGATATCACTTTTGTTCACTTCAAAATGCAATCTTTTCACAGTAAGAAGCACAAATATTATAAGAGGAATGTTGCTGTAAATCAAGGGCAAGTCGCGAGAAGAGGCTCAATTGTAATCTAAAATACAATGCAATTTCTCGAAGAATCTAGAGTCAAGAACCACCACATAGCTTGATAAGCACAAAATAGAAGATATAAACAAGTGAAAAAGGACGAGAATCCATGAAAAGATCCCAGATTTTGAACAAAGACACATCTCGTGTAAAATCCCCACCAAAAGTGATACCAAAAATGCCACACAAGACTCAATGCTAAAGGACAAACCACATAAAAGTAGAGCAAAACCCACCTAGCAGCTCATTAGGCCATTTCAAAAGGCAAGAAAACATCTGAGAGAGACAGAGCAACCTGAAATCACAAAGAAAAGATCCTTGTTTTTCTTTCCAGATAATTATTCTTCATATTATTTCTGTTTCCATAGCATTTCAACCTTAAGTTTAAGATGTTAGAAACTGAAATCATCCAAACTATAGTCAAGACTTTGGTGGTTGGAAGTTAATACAAAACTCATATAGGCGATTTCACTATAACATCCGGATGTTATGTGCAAATGTACCTTTAGCAGGAACTCTTTAATCAAATTGTCCAGAATGACCTGTTTGTATGGGTGGGGGATTAAGCAAATCAATGCATCAATAAGAAACTCCGACTATGAAGGAAGACAATATCACTGGCAATTCATTGACAAATTCCTACAACTTCCATTAAGGGTAAAAGCTCGAGAAGATAAGCTCCACAACCAAACAAGGAAAAAAGAAAAAGAAAAAAAAAAGGTACCCTCAGTTATTGTCAGTAGTATTATCTGGGAACACTTCCAACAAGCCTAGCACCAACTCTACCCAATTATTCGGCCAGTCTCCTCATCATCTGTCACAGCCACTGCAGTGGGCCCTGTCCCACTAATTGTGCATCCAAATGCACCAGCCTCAATTGCAGCCTTCTTCACAGCCTCCATTCCTGGAATCAATGGCACTCTCCTTGGCTCCACTATTTTGTCCGATGACTGCCTGTCGTAAGCCCGTCAGGTCTCCTTGCGACACTGATGCAATCAATGCCCCTGCTCCGGATTTACCAGCACGAAAAATAAGTCCTTTTCATGGGGAAACTTCAACTGCATCAGCTCTAGAGGATCATAGCTTCTAAGTAAAAAAATCCACCCATGACGGACGGAGCCACATTGTCGGCGTGATAACCGGATACCTTTGGCAACTGTAGCCGGGGCGAAAGAATTGACGTAGGTGAAAACGGGTTCGGGTTCAGCTGTCGCGCCCACATATTTATGAACTGTGAGACTGAGGTTGAATTTGAGAGACGATAGGAGGTGTGATTTGGCGAAGAAAGTAATAGTGGGGAGTTGCGGCGAGGTGGATCATCGATGTTGTATTGTTGTTCCAAAGTGAATAAAGGAGCACGGAATGAAAACATTGAAAAGTGGACATTGAGGGAAATATGGCCATGCGACCACATAGACCATTTAGGCATGCGGACGCATTGGCAATTACAGAAAATTTAGCCCCTCAATTTTTTATACATATGGCCATTGACAATTTGAATTTGGTGGCTTTTCAAGAATTTTTTACACCATTTCATATGACATTCTTTGATCGCTATATTTATATGTGGTTGTGGATCAAGAAATAACATTGAAAAATACATAAAATCATAGAGCCACAATTGAAATAATTTTCTTCATTCCAAAGTATTGAAAAATCCAGTTTTGAAAGATTTCACCGGTGCTTGAGTGTTAGATCTGTAAGTGTTGTGTCCTAGGTCCAATCAACTTTGGACATAAATTTTTTTAGCCCCCGTTTGATCCCCATTAAATTCAATTACATTATATTACATTTTTCTCTCTCCTATTTTCAACCACACAATCTTCCATAAAATACTATTACACGTAAATCGAAAATTTTTCCTTCTTTTTCAACCACCCATTTTTCTAAAAAATATTATTCTCCCAATTTTCATTTTCAGGTAATGGGGATCAAACGGGGGCTTAATATATAATTAATGCGATTTAATGACAGGTCTATTATTTAATTAATAGACAATTAAATTAAATAATAGAGTCCGTAGATTCAAATTTTCATAATTTGTTAATCACAAGAAGTTGTGATTGTGAGATATAAATTACATATGTTGAATATTAAATCGTCCGTGGTCGTAAGTAATAATGAGATACGAATATCATTATTACGAATAGACCATCATGTGTGTCATTTTTTACTTGTGAAGCAAGTAGCTGATCTCACAAGCAATAGTGTTGTGATACTTAAATGAACACGTGGATATTTTGTTACAGAACAAAACATTGGAGACTCACCGAGAGATTCCACATGGATAACTATCTAACGTTCGGTAGTAGAATTGGTCCTTTGACTTGAGGTCGTCATGGTACCTTATATGAGGACAGTCATGTTTTAGCGGTGTTGGATGTTGCTCTGCCAAGGGACGCTAATACGACATCGTTCGGGTATGTCAAGAATCATATGAAGGTTGTGAATGACCAATAGAGGATTCGTCACTCTTAGATAGTAAGAGATTATGATCTGCGTTTCATTCAATTAAGTCGATAAAGAAATCTTTGGCCAAAGTGTACTCATAAGTCGAAAAGGAGTTTTCGGTTTATATTAACTTAATAGTGGAATGAAAGATATGATCGGTAATCGAGATTAACACACTTCCATATCTCGTAAATTGATCGGATTATATTAACGAAATGATTATAATTTCACGGTAAACGAACGAATTTGATTTTCTCATACCACATGACATTTTCCGTCACATGTATTGCTTTGACACATTGCTAGATGTCAATCTGGGATGACGAGTGTGAATTGGTGATAAATTAAAATGATGTTTTAATTTTTCAATTTTGATTAGATCAAAATAATATTTCACGTCGTTAGGTATTGTGATCGGGAATCTGATGGGTCACACACAAAAGAGAATTGGAAGATTACAATTTATCAATTAATTAATTTAACAAACGTTGGATAAATTAATTAATTGTGTTGCTTATTTATAGGTCTGAATTAATTAATTGGATTAATTAATTCACGGACCGAATTTAATTAAATGAGTTAATTAAATACAGGACCGGGTCAGGTCAGGCTCGTTTGGGCTCATATAAATAAGTCATTAGGGTTTACAAATCGAGAGAGAATTCATTATGCTTACTAGCACAAGAAGAAAACACTAATCTTGCAATCTTGTTCTCTGTGTGGATCACCGTAGGAAGCTAGACAGTTGGACAGCTGTGAAAGACAGATCCAAGTTGCTGGAACAAAGATATAGTAAAGGAGTTTGCAGATATTGTAAAAGGTACATCTTTATCACAATTTCTATCTAAACACAAAGATGAATCCTGACGGGAATCGAAAACTGTTTTAATTTTTCGTTGTGCACGTAAAGTAGATTCCCAACAGTGGTATCAGAGCCTACTTTGTGTTTGTTAGGAATTGATTTACATATTATTGAAATCAAAAGTTGATTCATCGTGTTCTTGGATCTAGCAATTTACAAAATTTGATTTTGAGAAGAGAATTATTTATGGATCGATATCTGTTAATTTAAATTAATAAATAAGGGGTTGGAATTGCCGGTAGCAAAAGCGTCATCAACGAGTTGCAGTAAGCAACGATGACCGTTATCGTTGCTACAGGATGCAGCGCCTGGCGCTGCTGCTATTGTAGCAACAGCGACGATTGCGACTGGTGCAGCGTGCGGTGCTGCAGCAGGAAGCTCGCACGCTGCCGTTGTAATACAGCGACGGCGCCGATGTCAAGGTCAAGGCCCGCGCCACCAGGAAGAAAGGAGAGAGAAAGAGGGGACAATTTAGGGTTTTCTTCAAATGGGTGAATTTCCTAGGGTTTTCTTCAATCGGGTTCAGCCAGTTTTGAGGTGATGAAGGCGGGGGCCTCTAACGCAATTTATGAAATTGCAAGCCCCCATTTGCAATATCCCTTTTGGGGTCAGTTTATAAATTGTTTAAGTAAGGGTAGTTTTGCAATATTTGATATTGAGTAACCCCTTCCTGCAATTCCATTTCGAGGTCTAATTGTAATTATTAAATGAAAGGGCTTTTTTGCAAATTTCTTTATTTGGGAGGTCCTAAGTATAAATTCAAGTTTGGGTCGAAATACAATTTCAAAATTGTTTTGATTTTGAATTTTAAAATGGTTTTAAAATCATATTTTAAATGGGTTTGATATTTTGACCTATAATTTTAATTTTGACCGAAATTAAAATTTTATTTAAAATTGACGATTTTTATATTATAGTTGAAATTGAATCTTTAACTTAAATATTAAATTTGACCCTAAATTGAATTTTATTTTGTTTGGGAATGTTATCTTAGATTAAAATATTCATTCAATTTAAATTAGAGTTGGACTCTAATTTAGTATTTAATTAAAATTTGATTTTAATTAATTTTTTCGCCTGAATTCATTCTTGAAAATAGAATTGGATTCTAATTTGATATTTAATTAATATTTGATTTTAATTAAATATTTTCACCCTAAAATCTTTCTTGAAATTAGAGTTGGACTCTAATTTGACATTTAATTAAAATATTATTTTAATTAAATAAATTCGCCCCGAAATCTTAGAATTTCAGTTGGACTCTAATTTTGTTATTTAATTAAAATTTGATTTTAATTAAATTCAATTGCCTTAAATTTTGAAATTAGAGTTGGACTCTAATTTGATATTTAATCAAAATTTGATTATAATTAAATAATTATGCCCTATAATTGTGGAATTAGAGTTGAACTGTAGTTTGGCATTTAATTGAAATTTGATTTTAATTAAATATGCCCGCTAATTAAATAATTGGTTAATATGATTAATTAATTATTTAATTGTTCCGATCCACTTGTCTAAAAAAGTTTAGACAATATTAATTGCTAGAAATTTGAAACATGTTCGCATATAATATTAGATATTATATAGGCATACACTTATGTGATGAATGTATTAGTGGACGATTATGGACTCGACCATGTGGATGTGTAGAATGGTTAATTATATTTTTGTCATTTTATGAGCCTGCGAGCTTTTAATTAGTCGTTATTGTTATTTTGGGCCTGCGAGTCCAATTTCATCTAGGTCTGCGTGCCAACTAGTATATGATACAAATTGCAGTTAGACTAATTGAAGACACACGAAGATGAGGAAACCATGGAGATGGTACATTGATACTGATCAATGCGATACCCCTAGGAATTGACCAACTAGTCTTCCTTATGGCTCGAGAAGACTAGGTAGTAAAATTCATAATCATCCTATATATATTTGCATGGTAGTTGTATAATAAAATATATATGATTGTTACGATGAGATTTTTGAATGCAAAACCTCTCAATAAAATATTAAGTCACATTTAAAATCGCCTTTCATCATTATAGTGAAAAATTAGAGTCCCAAATCGTCTCAACTTGTTGAGTACACTCAAGGTCGATCTATTAGGGATATGTTTGACACTATGAAATATTAGATATTTCTGAATGTTGGGTCTGACTTAACTAAAATTTATCTTTTGTTGAGTACACTTAAGAAGATAAGTTTTAGAGGCATGTTAAGCTAATGCATAAGATGTGTGAAGATAAAGAGTTGTCAGTTTAACGATCTGGGAGTCGTATGGAGATACAATTGATAATAGTATCTACCCAAATGTTATATTAAGGCTTGTTGAGTACACTCAAGGTCTTGGTAAACAGATGGGATCTTGGTCCACTGGGAGTTAAGTATGTATTCCATAAATTTATGTGAGAGAGTCATAAATTTGAATTAAACAGTGGCAACATAATTAATTTAATAAAAGTCCATGTTAAATTAATTAATGCGTTTTATATATTATTCTTTTCTTTTTCGTCATTTATATTTATTGAATAGTGAGTAACCATGTGTATTTGAGAGGTATACTGGATGCCAACGACCAAATTAAATCTTCTTGAATGGCAATGCAATTTGAGAATTGTTCTCAGGCATGAGAATGTTGGTTGTCCTTAAGTAGCTAATTTCCAGAGACACCTGGTGATGACTCAACTAAGGAAAATGTGGCTACTGTAATAAACACAATGATGAGATAGTATTGCACACATGTAATGTTGCAACTATGTTACCTGAGTTACAAAGGCAACTTGAGAGTATAGATGTTAACACATAATTCTTCATTACAAAGCATTGTATGATAATAATCATGTGTGGAAGGATATGAAACTCCCAAACGACTATACCGGTGCAAAATGACAAAGCATTCTTCAATCGGTGCTCATGTACTATAGATGATTGTCATTGAGAGGTTGTCTCAATGAGGTTCAGTCATGAACTACAAACTAAGTATTGACTTAGCTCTACAATCTTTGTCAGAGAGTTATTCATACTAGTTTGAATTATGATATGAATAAGCTCGAATGCACACTCATTAAGTTGCTTAACCTGCTTAAAAATGTTATGCCCAATATCAAAGTTACAAGT